TGCTCTTCCAAAGAACCAGGGTTCAATTCCCAGCACCCAGCCTGGGAGGCAAAACACCAATGCACATAAAATAAAAATAAATAATTTTTTTTTTTAAACACAGAGTTTCTCTGTGTAACAGAGTCCTGAATGTCCTGAACTGACTCTGTAGAGCAGGCTGGTCTCCAGTTCACAAAAATCCTTCTGGCTCTGCCTCCTGGGTGCTGGGATTAAAGGCATGTGCCACATTGCCCAGCAAAAAGATATAAATCTTCAAAACTAAAACAATTTTAAAAATTTAAATGATAACTTTTTTACAGTGTGATGATGGGACCCGGGGCATTCTAGGCAAGAACTCTACCAATGTGCTACCTGCATGCCTAGTCCAGCTAAAGCAAATTTAGGGCTGGAGAGACGGTTTGTCCTGTTCATGGTTTCTGGGCTGGCACTGGAGCCGCTCCAGCCACAGGGAAGACTGACGAAAGCACTGCACTCAGGTGCACATGCCCACAGACAGGCACACCTGTAAAAAATATTGTTTACATTTAAATATTTAATTGTTTATTTCTAATTTAAATTTAAATATCATTTCATCATATTTCAATAGTTTTTACGTAAACATTTTACTTCAATGTATTTTGTTATTTAAATTATATTATTTATTTATATCATTTAAATGTTTATTTTATTACTTAAATAATTTTATTCATTTAAATCATTAATTTAACTAATTTATTATTAAAATAACAATGTTGTTTATTTAAATATTTTTGCCAATAACATTTGCTAAATTTTCATTTAATAATATTTAATTAATTAATTAAAATATTAAAATATTGTTTAAATGTAATACTTAAGTTTATTATTTAAATACTATTAATGTTATTGTTTAAGTACTATTTATTTAAATATTAAATATATTTTAATTAATCTACTAAATTAAATTTATTTGTTTTTTTCCTTTTATTATTTTTGTTTTGTTGTTTTGTTCCTAGACAAGGTTTCACTATGTAGCCTTGACTGTAGACTCACTATGTAGACCAGGCTGGCCTTGAACTCAGAGATCTGCCTCCTCTGTCTCCCTGAGTGTTGGGGTTACTGGCATGTGCCACCGTATCTGGCTATTTATTTATTTTTATATAAAAATGTGAAAGACTTGTATGAAAAAACTTCAAAACTCTGAGGAAAGAAATTGAAAAAGATATCAGAAGATGGAAAGATCTCCCATGCTCATGGACTGGTAGGATTAACATTGTAAAAATGACCACCTTACCAAATGCAGTCTACAGATTCAGTGCAATTCCCACCAAAATACCTACATAATACTTTACAAACCTTGAAAGAACAATTCTCAACTTTATATGGAAAAACAAAAAACCCAAAATAGCTAAAACAATCTTGTACAATAAAAGAATTTTGGGAGGTATCTCCATCCCTGATCTCAAGCTGTACTACAGAGCAACAGTAATAAACTGCATGGTACTGGCATAGAAACACACTGGTTGATCAATGGAATTGAATTGAAGACCCAGAAATAAACCCACACACCTATGGACACTTGATTTTTGACAAAGAAGCCATAACCATACAATGGAAAAAAGACAGCATCTTCAACAAATGGTGCTGGTCTAACTGGATGTCTACATGTAGAAGAATGCAGATACATCCATATCTATCACCCTGCACAAAACTCAAGTCCAAGTGGATCAAAGAACTCAACATAAAACCAGGTACACTAAATCTATTTTAAAAAAAAAAGTGGGAAGAGCCTTGAAATCATTGACACAGGAGACAACTTCCTGAGTAGAACACTTAGAGCTCAGGCTCTAAGATAATTAATAATAGGCCCTCATGAAACTGAAAAGCTTCTGTAAAGCAAAGGACACTGTCAATATAACAAAATGACAGCTTACAGATTGGGAAAAGATCTTCACCAATTCTACATCTGACAGGGAGCTAATATCCAAAATATAAAAAAGAGCTCAAGAAATTAAACACCAACAAACCAAATAACACAATTAAAAAACAGGGTATGGAGCTAAACAGAGAATTCTCAACAGAGGAATCTTGAATGGCCCAGAAGCACTTAAAGAAATGTTCAATGTCTTCAGTCATCAGGGAAATGCAAACCAAAATGACTCTGAGATTCCATCTTACTCCAGTCAGAACAGTTATGATCAAAAACTCAAGTGACAGCACATGCTGGAGAGGATGCAGAGGAGGAAGAACACTCCATTGCTGGTGAAAGTGCAACTTTGTACAACCACTGTGGAAATCAGTCTGGAGGTTTCTCCGAAAATTGGAAATAGATCTACCCCAAGGCTATACCACTCCTGGGCATATACCCAAAAGATGTTCTACCATACCACAAGGACACTTGCTCAACTATGTTCATAGCAGCTTTATTCATAGCAGCCAGGAACTGGAAACAACGCAGACATCTCTCAACCAAGGAATAGATAGAGAAATTGTGGCACATATACACAATGGAATACTACTCAGCTATTAAAACAAGGAAATCGTGCGATTTGCAGGCAAATGGATGGAACTAGAAAAGATTGCTCTGAGTGAGGTAACCCTGACCCAGAAAGACACACTTTGTATATAACTCACTTATAAGTGCATATTAGCCTTATAGTAAAGGATAACCATACTACAATCCACAGACCCAAAGAAGCCCAAGAAATGATGCTTGCATCTTAGAACAGGAAATACAATAGGCATCAGAAGTAGATGAAGAGAGGGAACTGGGTGGGAGAGGGGCTGGGGATCAGGTGGGCAGAGAGAGGAGGAGGACATGAAGGAAAGAACTGGGAGGGAAAATTGGAATCTGTGGGCAGTCATCTCTGGGACAGGTGATGCTAGCTGCGACTCTAAGCAACAGGTGTTAAGCAACATGAAGTAGGTACCTCCTATACTGATGTGGGACTCCTAGCAGAGGAAGGGGGACACCAATTCACATATAAAACCTTCAATCCAAAATGTGTCTTGTCTATAAGAAGTGTAAGGATAAAGATAAAACGGATCAAGGGAGTGGCAAACCAGTGACTACCCCAGCTTGAGACCCACACCACAGGAGAGAACCAACCCGTCACTATTAATGATAATCTGCTATGCTTGCAGATGAATCTAGCAGAACTATCTTCTGAGAGGCTTCATCCAGCAGCGATGGAGACAGCTGCAGAGACCCAAGGCTGCCGAGCTCAGGGAGTGCTGTGGAGGAGTAGGAAGAAGATGGGAGGGAGACAGAGGGGTCAAAGACACCACAAGAAGACCTACAGAGTAATCTGGCCTGGGCCCATGAGGGCTCACAGACTGAACCACCAACCAAAGAGCTTGCATGCATTGAACACCACCTACACATATGTAGCAGATGTGCCCCTTGGTCATCATGTGGGTCCCCTAACAATAGGAGTAGGGGTTACCTCTGACTCTGTGACCTGCCCCTGGATCACTTTTCCCAGCTGCTGGGCTTCCTTGTCACGCCCTGGTGGGAGAGGATATGCTTAGCCTGCTGTGACTTGAGATGCAAGGTTGGATTGGTACTAATTGGGAGCCTCCCCTTCTCTGGGAAGAATGAGAGAGGGGAATGGGAGGGGGGGTGTGGGATGGGACAGGGAGAAGAGGAGGGGGAGAAGAGGAGAGAGGGAGTGAAACTGGGATGTAAATGCTTAAATAAATAAATAAATGCTTTGTAAAGATGATATGACCATAAAAAGTTATATACATAATTATATATAAATTTACACATTATATAAACATATTTATATGTAAATATAAAATAAATTATATAAGTAAATAAATTTGTTTAATTAATGTAATTAAAGTTAGAATATTAACTTAATATTTAAATAATAATAATTATTTAAAGCAATAAAATTTCTATTGCTTATTCTTATTTAAAAGAAAAAAAGGAGCGAGCTAGTTCTGTGTGGGTCACTGGAAAGCATTTCTTCAGCATGTTTGAGGCCATGTCTAACTCCTAATACTGTCAAAATTAGAAAAAGAAGGGGAAGAAGCCAGGTGCCTGCTTTGTTTGCAACTCCTCAGCTGATTAACCTGCCCCACTTCTATCCCCACACATAGTCTGTATGATTGTTCATTCTCTGAGATTTTAAAAAGTCAATTCTGCTTTTAAAGTTATTTGAAAGGAAACTGTAAATGGAAGGGCTCCACCAAGCCTTAGGATTTGGCACCCAGGGCTCCCACAACTGGACAAGTACCATTAACTACATCCCCGATTGCCCAGGAGCCTTGAAGGTAAACATTTTACTTCCAGGCTAGATGGAGCATGCTTGTACTCCTAGCACTTGGCAAGCTGAAGCAGGAGCTTGAGACTTGGGGATTTAGATCAGTAGTAGACACTAGGGAAGAAAGCCCTGGGTTCTGTCCTCAGCACCGGGGGAGGGGGCAATGAAGGCAGAATTACATAGTCTTACCATCTCTATATTTAAATTGTTTGTTTGTTTGTTGAGACTCGGTTTCTCTGTGTAGCCTTGGCTGGACTCACTCTGTAGACCAGACTGGCCTTGAACTCACAGAGATCCACCAGCAACTGCCTTCCAGAGTGTTGGGATTATGGGTGTGTGCCACAGTGCCTGGCTTTAACTCTATATTTAACATTTTTTTAATTGAAGTTTCTTTTTGTTTGTTTGGTTGGTTGTCTGGCTTATGTTGTTATTGTTGTTTGAGACAGGATCACAAATATCTGGTTCTGCCTCATTTTTTTTCTCCAGCTTGAAGCATATTCTACAGTTTGGGTATGAGTACCCAGTCCCCTCCTGATGGACTTTTAGGTTGTTTATCCCAAGTGCCTTTTCTCTCCTTCTTTTTGCTCAGACACTGAAGAAATATATATGCATGTGTGTTTCGAGGGCTCAGTGTGGAATGCCACTTCCTAGGTGGCATTGCCACGTGGTTTTGGTGAGCTGCACATGGTGGTGCTTTTCTACAAGGGTGCAGAAGCCATTCAGATCTACAGGACATTTAGGGGACACTTGGGGAAGTCAGAGTACACTCACCACACTGGATGTGATGGTCGATGCATCGCCATGGGTAGCGGTCCATCTTGGGGTTGCAGCCAGCCTCCTGAGCGCCAGAATAGCAGCAGTCGTGATGACGGCAGCACCTGGAAGGGCAGGTGGGCTGTGTAAAAGAGGGAACTGAGCTGGCTGTCCGTCTGACCTCAAGAAGCTAGTGACCCCTGATACACATGCTGCCCCTCACAGTGCCAGTTCTGGGGAAGAATTCTAGCAGCTGGGCTATGACTGCACAGCCTCACTCCTTGACCTTGCCTGGATCTGTCCCTGCCTGCCTCCCTGTGACTTGAGCTCCAGCTGCCCTGGCAATCTTCTCTTCCTTCCTGGATCCAGCTTGGGCCTTCTGCCTGGACAACCCAATGGCCTTCTTGGCTGTTAGGTCTATCCTGGGCACCAGATTCCACCCTGAAGTCTGTCTCCTCAGGGTAGGAGAGCCTCTTGCCACACCCTGTCATAAAACCATTTTCCCTCCCTCCAAGGAGGTTTATCATGAGTTCCCACTATAAACCTCATACCATTTGTTCTCTAAGACTGGAACTCGCAGGAACCCTGTCATCTACTTTCCCACAGTGTCCTACAGGGCCAGCTAGCCTGCCATTTAATAGGAACTCAGAGAGCATGCCTTGTTAGAAAGTTCCCTGAGAGACACCCTCACCTGTCAGCAGTGTGCTGAGCCTTCAAGCAGTCAGCCAGCTTCCCCCGCTGCCCTTAGAAAGCCTCCAGTCTGTGGAGGGAGGCAGATGAGGTGCCTGGCAGCTGCTAAATGAGAAGTGCTGGGGTGTGGGTTAGCCACAGGGTCTCTGAGAGCCCAGAGGAGGTGGCAACCCCAGCTGGGTTTTTTGGGTGTGATGGTAGACTCTCCTGGGATGACAGTTGCAGAGCCAACTGTGGGAACCAGGTTGCAGGAATGTATTGCTGTCATCAGGTGCACCCAAGGTGCAGGGCAAGCCAAGAAGTTTCTGTCTCCAGCTAGGGAAGAGGAAGCTGCAGTCTACACTGAGCCACTTACTAGTTTTGTGACAATGGGAGAGTATTGGATGTCTGGGACCCCAGGGACTTCATTATCAAGTGGGAATGAGCATCATGCTTCTTCCTGCCCAGAGCCATGATATCACATAAAGATTTTGGCTCTCAGCTTGCATGGAGCAGGCTTCTCATGTTCCCTATGCTCTGTGCTGTTGCAGATAAGCAACTCAATGGTTCTGTGGCTTGGCCTCCTTATCTATGAAGTAGGACTGTTAAGGATTCTCAGAGATCCTCAGACTGTACAATAGTCTAGATAGCTTTATGTTGTTCCTAGGTGATACATACTCACAGCCCGGGTAAAGGTTAGCTGGCACCGAGATATCTCCCCACTGACCCAAGAACCCTCTGCATGTAGGGATATGTTAGGTTCTGGGATCTTCCTGGGTTCTAGGAGTTGGGAGACCTTTCTCACTTTGGGCCCAGTATATACTCACCAGTCAATGGCATCACGTGGCTCTCCATGGCCACCGAGGCCACAATAACAGCCATAGTTCATGTAGGCCAAAGGTGATCGAGGACCAACACAATCCAAGGTCCCTGCCAGTTCCAGGAGTCCACGCTTGTACCTCCTGGTTGCTGAAAGATAAACAAAGGTCATAGGTTCAAGGTCAGAACTTCTGAATCCCTAGTGAAGGGCACTAGCCTGAGAAGGACCTAGATGTTGCAATTTGCCTGGGTTTTATCCTACTTTCTAGGTGTGAGACCTTGAACAAATTATAGATCTCTCTGTGCTTTGCTTTCCTCATTTGCTTAGTGCCTGACAAGGTTGCATCAACTCACAGAATAAAGTTAGACAAAGCATTCATAGTGTCTTGCACAATACAAACTCAATTACAGCTGAAGTATTTTTCTTTCTTTCATTTTTCTTTTTCTTTTTTTAAGTTTTTTGAGAAAGGGTTTCTCAATGTAGTCCTGGCTGTCCTGGAACTCTCTCTGTAGACTAGGCTGGCCTCAAACCCACAGAGATTCTCATGCCTCTGATGAGTGCAGTTGGGAGGCAGAAGGTGGATCTCTGTGAGTTTGAGGCCAGCCTGGTCTACAGAGAGGACTACATAGAGAAACCCTGTCTCAGAAAACAAAAACAAAAACCAAACCAAACCAAAAGGCTGTGCCACCACAGGCCCACCTACAGTCCAGATCTTTAAGGCAGTCTGAGTGGAAAAATGAGGTGCAGAACATAGTTTGGGAGAAACCCCCGCACTGGGCCTTTGCACAGGCTGGTCTCTCTTCCTAGAATGCCCTATTCTGGTTCTCACCATTCTGCTCCTGTCCACTTTAGATGCAGTCAGACTGTAACCTGGGCATTAAATATTCACTATGCTGATTGTGCTAGGTGCTTGTTTGTCATAAGCTAAATAGCATACTTACACCAAGGAGGGCTTCTCAGGGGGTTCCTAGGCTCTGAGCCCCTCTTCTCTTCCTTAGATTCAGATTAGGACCCTATATATCTACTTTTATTCTCACTCCAAGGTCAGTTTCCTTCCTTAGCCTGAGTCCAGCCTATGCGTCCTGGTGTACCTCTAGTAACACCCAACCTGTGTGACATTAAACCCTTAATTTGAAAGATAAAGGAGCCCATCTGGGAAAAGTGACCTTCACACTGTCACGGTGCACAACACTGGAACTAAGGCTCCAACTCACACACTGGTGCTTCTTCATCTGTGTAGTAAGGAAGAGGACTGCGGTGTCTGAGGGACACTGGCAGGAGAGCAGGACCAAGCTCCCAAGTCTGTTTGCTGAGTGTCTGCACTCACACCATGCTCCCCACCCCCACTCCAGGATGGAGGACAGTGGAGGTGCAGCCTGCCCTGGACTTGCATCTCTCACTTAGACAATGTTTCCATCCCAGTGACTCATTTGAGGGCTCCCACACTAAACTAATCATGTTTTCTCAGTGGAAAAAGTTCCAAACTAGAGGTTAGGAGTGGGGTTCAGATCAGAAGAGAAGGAGTTTAGAGAAACTGGAGTTCTTATTCAGATGGTAGAGTGCTTGCCTGGCATGCACTGACTTTCATTCCCAGCGTCATATAAAGTAGACATGATAGCCTGTGCCTGTAATCCCAGCACTTGGGAGGTAGAAGCAGGAAGATCAGGAGTGAAGCTTACCTTTGGCTGGATAGTAAGTTTGGGGCCAGCCTAGGCTACACTTTCCTTTCTGGATGAAAGGCCTACCCTCTTCTAACAGCCCACACAATTGCCTTCCTTCCAGCATTCCCATGAATTTTGGATAAAGCTCTCACCTCCACTGTACCCCAAGTCCCAGTGGAGATCCCAAGCTTAATCCCCAAGCCTTCCTACCTCCCCAGAACCCAGCTGTCCTCACAGTCAGGCCCATCACACTATTGGTCCTGTGTTTTGTTTTGTTTTTCTGCCAGTGGCCCATGATGCTGCTGCCTGTTTATGGGGGTGCCCCTCTAGCTTGGGTGCTCTTCCAGAACAGATATCTAACTCATGTAGCTCTGGATACCCTGGTACACAGAAAGGGTTCTGGGAAAGGTCTGGTCTGTTGACCTCAGGAGCCACCAAGCCTTGTTAAGAGAGATCTAGCCTAACTACTCCTAGCACTCTACCCTGAAACCATCTGCAGAGCTCCCCCTACTCGACCCCCTGGCCACTCTGTGCTGTTATATAGGCTGGAACAGCCCATGACGGGCCCAGGTGAGGAACAGACAGCTAAGTTTGGAACCAAAAAAAAAAAAAGAAAAAAAACCACTCCCTTTGTGCCAACATAGGTGGAGTGGGTCAGGCTGGGGTCTGTTTGCTCTGTCTACCTGTGGGCAGCCTCCACTGGCAGTGCCAGGACCCACAGGGTATTGTACAGGTCCAAGGAGTCAATGCTGGTATAGACCCAGTGTGGGTCGTCCTAGGCACTCCTGAGCTGTGTTACTCTGCAGACACTTCTTGGAGCAACTGTGGCATCTGCGATGTTGATCTGGGTGAGTCTGCTCAGAAGCAGCAACCTCATGCTTGGGCCTCAGCACCCAGGTAAGGCCAAGGCTGGCTCTGTGCCTGTATGTCTTACTGTACCCCAGGATTAGGGAGTCATCAAGAAAAGCCTCTCCAATGGGGGTTTCCTCACCCACCCCTCCTACTCTGGAGTCTAATTCCTGTCCCTGTTTCTCCCACCCACAGGGTCCTTCTGCCTGGAAGTCCTATCTCAGACCCCACAGTCAAGAGAAGTGATAGCTAGTTCAGAGGATTCGGGATCAAGGGCTAGAAGCGTCAGGCTGCTGGAGAGGATTGTAGTGACTATGGAGTTCATGGAAGGAGGACTCTGATACCACCCCCACTACTTCCTGAATGGAATGCCTGCGTGGAAGACCCTGGAAGGGCCCTGAGTGTCTGCGGAGATGGGTGTGTGGGCATCTGAAGAAAGGACTGGGGATTTCAAGGCTTCTTGGATGCTGGAAGGGGCTGTTGAGCTGTGAGAAAAAATAAGGTATGGAATCTGACCCAGGCTGGTGAAAGCCAGTCCTCACTCACCCTCGCTGAGTCGGGATCCAGGTCCCAGCAGCAACAGCAGCAGTAACAGCATTATTGGCCGGCGCAGAGATAGCTGACACATAGGAGACTGATAGGTATGGGACTGACCAAAAGGGCCAGTGTACTCACCAATCCTGCTGACCACCACCACCAGCCCCGCCCCCTTCCTCACCTTCTTTCTGTGGGGCGGAGTCAAGCAGGAGTGGTCACCTGGAGCCTTGGCAAGTGTCTGTCCCTGACTTCTGCAGATTTAGTCCCCTAAACCCAGATACCAAATGGAGTGCAGGGCCAAAAGGGGGTCAGGGCAGAGGATGCCTCCATGGAGTAAAAGGGTGACATGTTGATACTATTGAAGAGCCCGGAGGTGGGGGGGGAAGAGTATGCTAATTTACCTCCGGGCCATGTTTATTTACCGGAACATTTTACAAAGCAGGCAGCTATGCTCCTGTGGGCCAGTCACACTTAACACTCCACATTCTCCTCACTGAGAAACTGAGATAGTCAAAGGTTGCAGCCATTTCTGGTAAAAGACAGGGCTGAAGACCTGGTGGTGATGGGCTGGGAAGCTGAGGCAGAGTGTAGGCAATTCTAAACCTACCTGGACTGACCCTGGAAAGAGGTGAGGGTAGACAGGGGTTGGAATGAAGAGGGCAGGAGGCCACACCAGCATCACACTGTACTGTCTATCCCATGCAGGTTGGCCTCAGCTTCTCATTTGTTGGTGGTTATGGTTCTTCTGGGGAAGGTGTCTAGGTGAGAACATGTACTTAACAGATACTCCACACTGAAAAGAAATGATGATTGGACTCATTACTGCTTTTTGCCCCTAATGCTACTCAATTAGGAGCCAATTTTTGTTGTTTTGGTTTCATACCTGATCTGAGTGGAATACTGGGAAACACCCCATACTTCAGGGACAAATTCTAGCAAAGATTAGAATGATCTCCAACAATCAATCAATCAATGACAAGGTGAAATAGGGACTCCCTGGCTTTGAAGGTTCCTGACACAGGTGTCAGTCTAGGCGCCCAATCCATTCAATGTCATAGACAGGCATTGGGGATCTAAGAACTGAGAAGCCAAAGGGTTGGTGAGATGGCTCAGCGGGTACACACAAGCTTACAGACCTACAGTTTGATCCTTAAAGATGGAAGGAGAGAACGGATTCTACAAAGCTGTCCCCTGGTCTCTAATACTTGTAATGTGCCCTCTCCTGCATCTCATTCATACATACACACTATAACAATACATTTTAAAATGTTAAGTATTAAAAGTAGGGGAACAGTGGCTAGAGCTCATCACACATGCTAATGGCCTGTCTTGGCCCCTGCTGTTCACAGGAATGAGGCTTCATTCCTTATCGCTACCTAGTGGTAATGGTCTCCCCACTTCAGTGTGTCTGGTCTCATGCTTCTTGTGTGGCAATCACTGGTCTGCCTGGCCCTTGCTCACTGCTCAATAAAAGCTTTCTACTACAGTACAGATGGATTTCAGATGCTTCAAGTCTTTGGATTACAGAAAATGCAAGTGACAGCCTTGGTGTACAGCACTGAGGAAAGGGCAGGGCCTCTTGTGACTCCAGCACTCACCTGCTCCAGAAAGGTCCCTGCGGATGGCCACAGGGCATTGTTTTGAAACTCAAGTCCTGGAAGATACTAAAGTGCTCAACTGATGATGAAAACCAAAAGCTCAGAGCAGGGATGGGGCTCCTGCCCAGCTTAAAAACAGAAAATGCACCTTAAGAACCATCATTGAGAGTGCTCCTCACAGGAGTCCTCCAGAGTTCTTTCTCACTTGGCCTTAGTTTTGTTCTATGGAAAGGACACTGAGCTGTTGGAAGGCTGAGGTAGAAGGAGTGTGGTGAGCTTGAGGCCAGACTATACTATATAGTGAGTTCTAAGCCAGCTTGAACTACTGAGCAAAAGCTTGTTTTAGAAAGCTGAGAGCCAGCAAGACGGCTCAGGGGATAAGTGCACTTGCGGCCATGCCTTAGGACCTGAATTTGATTACAGGAACCACATGCTGGAAGGTGAGAACCACCTTCCTCCACAGGTGCATGCACCACATTCCCACCTCCTTCAGCTAAGGAAATTTTAGAAGAAAAAGAACCAAGCCAGGTGACATGGGCCTGTAGGACCAACTGCTTAGGAGAATGAGGCATGAGGTTGACAAGTTCAAGAACAGGATGGGCTACAGAGTGAGCTCAAGGTCAGCCTGAGTAACTGATATCCTTTCTCAAAGCAGGGGTGAGGGAGTTAAAGAGAGCTGGAGATGCAGCCCAGTGGATGTGTCTACTCAGTATGAGGAGAGAAAAAAAACAAAAACAAAAACAAAAACATACAGTTTCCCTGTTAATCATTCGCTGAATCCCCAGCATGGACTGATCACCATGTCTTCAAGAACAGACCCTGTATTGGGGGACAACAGAGAACCAGGTACAACTTTGCCCCAGAAGTCTCAGCAGACTGGCGAGATAGGCATGAAGATATAAGGGACATGAAGATGTGAGCAGGGCAATGATAGGACAGTAAAGGATTTGGGTATTCAGGATATGAGCTTCCAGGTCTCAGACTGGGTGCCCGCTCCTTTGTCCAAAACAGAGCCTGGGCCCAGGATTCTGGGATAGGTGGATCACTTGTAAAGTGTGTTCGGGGAGCAGAGAGAGAGCACAGAGGTCAGCGGGAATGCAAGAACATGTTCTGCCTAAGAGTGAACACAACTGAGGGTAAACACAAACAGGAAACCTTATCCCAAGCACCCATTTACTCCAGGCTCCTGTATCTCATTGGTTTGGGGTTGCTTGGTGGGGAACAAGGCAGAAAGTGAAAGCTGATGAACCTAGTTAAAGCCCTTGTAGTCAGCCAGAGCTGAAATCTGCTGATAGAGAGGACATGAGGTTAGGGACAGAAATCTGCCAACTCCTCTCCCCTCAGGGCTCAAAGAAAATGCTCTAAGCCAGGTATCTGATACGAACTTTCTAGATAGGCTGGAATGTGGTGAGACCACAAAGCAAAGACTGTAAGGAAGGCAAAGCTAGGCAAAGGCCTGGTGTGAGTAGGAATTCCTGGCATGGTGGCGGAAGCCTCCCCCTGGTGGACAACCTAGGCATAAAGAGTCCTATTGGAAAGTATGGGCAAATGGAAGAAATGGATTTTCTGACTAGAAAGATTATGAAGGTGGAAATATTGCTCAATGGTAGAGAGTTGTAGCATTAGAGAGAGAAAAGAAGTATGCACGCATGTACACATGCATGTACTTATGAGAGAGAGAGAGCCAAGAGGGAGAAAGAGGAAGAGAGGTGAAGAGAGTTTGTAGCAGCTGGATATTGACAGAAGAATTACTGATGGAGAACACAAGGAGACCAGCTAGACAGGATGATATGTGCCTGTAATCCCAGCACTCTGCAGGCTGCAGCTGGACAAACACAGGCGAGGTCTTGGCTACGTAATTATTGACTTAAGAGGCTAGCCTGGGATACATGAGTAAAAACATATTTGTATATATGTATATTTTTTCCTGATGTTTGCGTAGCTTCTGTGTGTCTTATCACTGACAATATTGATCATTTCACCTAGAAGGCTAGGAGTTGGGTTATTTGACCAATGAACTGTGGTGAAAGAAGCCTCAGTCATTTTTCAGCTGAAACTTAGAGGAAGCAAGTGTCTGGGTATCTTCCCTTTTGCCACAGGTTTTGTTACCTGGTTATTACCTAGTTGCAGTTTGTTTCCTACACCTGGTTACAATTTTGTTACATAGTTGTTACCTGGTTATGGTTTTATTGTGTTTGTTGTTTTTTTTTTTTTTTAAACTGCCTTTCAAGAAGAACAATGCCAACCTAGTGCTGAGATTAAAGGCATGCGACAACATGCCCATTGGTGTATCTTTTAATAGGGTTTTCAAATTGCTATCACAAATCTTTCGGCCAAAGCTATCTTAGTTTTGGATGTATAGCCTTGTTGGAGTAGGTGTGGCCTTGTTGGAGAAAATGTATGCCTGAGAGTGGGCTTTGAGGTTTCAGAATCTCAAGCCAGGCCTAACTGATCACTATCTCTTTTTACTGCCTGCAGATCCAGATCCAGATCAGCTCCCTCTCCAGCACCATGTCTGCCTGCATGCCACCATGCTTCCCACCATGACAACGGACTAACCTTCTGAACTTTAAGCCAGCCCAATTACATGTTTTCTTTATAAGAGTTGCTGTGGTCACAGTGTCTCTTAACTGCAGTAGACACTAACTTAGTGATACATCTTAGTGACACATCTATAACCTTGGCTCAGTATGTCACAGGTTCAGGAATACCCACTCACTGGCCATTCAGACACCAGACTGAACTCAATAGAAGTTTATTGAATGCTAAACAGAATCTAACCAGTCAGGGCCTCATGGACCGAAGAGTCAGACTATAATATTGCTCTGCTCAGAAGGCAGTTTTTTTTTTGTTTGTTTTTTTTAAAACCAAAAAACCATAACCAGGTAACAGGTATGTAACAAAACTGTAACCAGGTGTAGGAAGTAGGAAACAAACTGCAACTTGGTAACAGCCAGATAACAAAAATGCAACCAGGTATCCAAGTGTAGGAAGCAACATTACATCGGTTTGAATAGCTAGACAAAGCATTTCTAACTGGTCTTTAATTTGATTGGTTCTGCAGTTGGGGGGGGGGGTCTCCCTAGAGTGTCCAAGTAACAAAGTATACAAAGTTTGGGAAATGAAACCATAGAAACATAATAAAAATGCAGACTTGGAAGCAAAATGGCTTCTGATATGCTAAAGACTACAGCAGGAGCCATAGTTATACTAAGAAATAAAGTCGGTCTCAACAGAGAGGCTATAGAATTTAAGCAGGTTACAACAGTGTGTGTGTGTGTGTATGTATATATATATATATTTTTTTTTTTAATATATTTTTTTTGAGATAGGATTTCTCTGTGTAGCTGTCCTGGACTCACTTTGTAGACTGGGATGGCCTCAAACAAAGAGAGACCTGCCTGTCTCTGCCTCCAGAGTGTTGGGATTAAAGAAATGCACCAACACATCCAGCTAGTTTAGTATACCTTAATTGATACCTGTTAATAATCTTGGCTGTGGAAAGAGTATAAGATACCCTCTCCACACACTCAGTCTCTTCAGTGTTCTCAAATTTTAAGGCAAGTTGTGCTCTCAAGGAGACCCATAGAGTTGACTTCAGGGCCTGAGACAGCATGGTCATAGAAGTAGCAGTCTAATGTGATGCAAAGAGCCCAAGGTACCTAGAAGACATTGGGGGTGTGAAGAGGGTGTCTATCAGGGTAGTTCATCAGCTTCCATCCCATCTAGGCTGCATTCTGGCAGCCTCCCACTCAATTAGAGCTATCTGGACAATGAGTCTCCATGGAGCTCTGTAAATTTAGGCAGACAAAGTATCTGGAGAGAACCTGTTGTGCCCAATTCATGAGATCCGTAAAAGACCACCAGGAATCAAGTCCGTTGCAAAACATACGAGGATCTTTGTTTGCAGCCCGGGCTGTGACTCTCACAGATCCCAGCTAAGAGACTCTGAGCTCAGGACTAAGGATGATTTATA